AAAAAAAAAAAAAAAAAAAAAAGAAATGAGACTAAGAAGTAAACAGACAATATCTGTAGACTCATAGATGACCCATTACTGAATTCAGACACGTACTTAAAAAATTTTTAATTAATATGTTTAGATGCTGGACAAAAAGATTTTAAATGGGGCTTCCCTGGTGACACAGTGGTTGAGAGTCCACCTGCTGATGCAGGGGACATGGGTTCATGCCCCGGTCCGGGAAGATCCCACATGCCGCGGAGCGGCTGGGCCCGTGAGCCGTGGCCACTGAGCCTGTGCGTCCAGAGCTTGTGCTCCGCAACAGGAGAGGCCACAACAGTGAGAGGCCCGCGTACCGGGGGGAAAAAAAAAGATTTAAAATGTCTTTTTTATCATAAAATTGAAATATATATATAAAAAAGAGCCAAATGGAAATTATAAAAATTAAAAATGCAATTGAAATTGTAAACTCAAAAGATAGGTTTAACAGTGTATTGGCCATAGAAGAAGAGAAGATTGGTGAGCTGAAAAATAGATAAGTAGAGACATCCAAGCATGGAGAGTAAAAAGAATGGGGAAATACAGAAATAAACATAGAGACATATGGGAAAGGATGGAAGTTTCTTATATGTGTGCAGTTGGAGTCCAGGAAGAAAAGTGAACAAGGGAGAAGCAGCATTTTAAGAGCTAATGGTCAACACATCAACCACTTTCAACCTAAAGTGGGATAAATACAAAGAAAATCATACCAGATGAACAGTCCTCCAAATGGAAGAAAAGGAAAATTTCTTAAAAGCATTCAGAGGAGGGAAAAAAATAACCGCTGCTAAAGGAACAGTGAAAAGACTGACAACTGACTTATCAGTAGAAATGATGGAAGCCAAAAAGACAGTGGCTTGGCATATTTTAAGTGTTACAAGAAAATAAAGCTAACTCAGAATTCTGTACTTGGTGACAGCAGCCTTCCAAAGTGAAAATGACGTGAAAACACTCCAGACAGAAACTCAGAATTTGTCATCAGCAGACCTGCAGTAAAAGAAATACTAAAGATTCTCCAGGCGGAAGGAAAATGATCTCAGATAGAAACAGAAGTACAGGAAGGAGTGAAGAGCTATGGAAAGAGTAAATAATATGTGTAAATATAAATGAATATTGACTAAAAACAATAATAATGTCTTGTGGCTTAAAATATAAAGAGAATTAAATTATGTGACAACACCACCACCAAGGTGGTTGGGAAAATGAAGTTAAACTATTCCAAGGTCCCTGGATTATCTGAGAAGTGGTGGCGCAGTGGTTAAGAATCCGCCTGCCAATGCAGGGGACACAGGTTCAAGCCCTGGTCCAGGAAGACCCCACATGCCGCGGAGCAACTAAGCCCGTGTGCCAGAACTACTGAGCCTGTGCTCTAGAGCCCACGGGCCACAACCACTGAGCCTGCATGCCATAACTGCTGAAGCCTGTGTGCCTAGAGCCCATGCTCCTCAACAAGAGAAGCCACTGCAATGAGAAGCCTGCGCACCACAAGGAAAGAGTAGCCCCTGCTCGTCGCAACTAGAGAAAGCCCGCGCACAGCAACGAAGGCCCAACGCAGCCAAAAATAAATATATTTGACTTAAATATGTTTTGAGTATTTGTTGTAGTCTTTAAAGTAGCCACTAAAAGAATAGCAAATGAATATATAGCTAAAAAGCTAATAAAGGTGGGAAAATGGAAAAACAAAAAATACTTGATTAATCTAAGAGAAGATGAGAAATGAGAGAAACAGAATCATAAATCAGGTCAAAGAAAATAAATAGTGGATTGATAGATATAAGTCCAAATATATTGGTGATTACATTAAATGTTAATAGACCAAACACTTCAATTAAAAGACTAGGATAGGGACTTCCCTGGTGGTCCAGTGGTAAAGAATCCGCCTTCCAGTGCAGGGGACACGGGTTCGATCCCTGGTCAGGGAACTAAGTTCCCACATGCTGTGGGGCAGCTAAGCCCACACGTCACAACTAGAGAGAGAAAACCCACACACCACAACTAGAGAGAAACCCAAGCTCCGCAACGAAGAGACTGCATGCTGCAACGAAAGATCCCCCATGCCTCAATGACCTGATGCAGCCAAAAAATATATATATTAAAAACAAAAAGAGACTAGGATAGGGACTTCCCTGGATGTCCAGTGGGTAACACTCCGTGCTCCCAGTGCCGGGGGCCTGGGTTCGATCCCTGGTCAGGGAACTAGATCCCACATGCATGCCACAACTAAGAAGTCTGCATGCCACAACTAAGAAGCCCTCATGCCACAACTAAGAAGCCCACGTGCCGCAACTAAGAGTCCTCATGCCGCAACTAAGAAGCCCACATGCCGCAACTAAGAGTCCATATGCCACAACTAAGAAGTCCATGGCTCAACTAAAGATCCCACATTCCGCAACGAAGATTCCATGTGCTGCAACTAAGACCTGGAGCAGCCAGAATAAATAATTTTTTTAAAAGACTACAATAAAACCAACTGAAAAATCTCAATGATATGCTATTTACAAGAAACATACTTAAATATGTTTAAAAAAATACAGAAGGTTGAAAGCAAAAGGATAGATATAGCATGCAGAGACTAACCAATAGAAAAGTGGTGTAGCTGTAAAAATACTAAAATGTACTTTAGGACAACAAACATTACTTCAGGTAAAGGTATTTCATAATGATGAAATGGTCAAGCCATTAGGGAGCTATAAAAATTCTAACTTTAGAAGAGTCTATTATTATAGCTTCAATACCTGGAAGACAAAAATTCAGTAAGGATGCAACTGATTTAAGAAACACGCTTGGGGGCTTCCCTGGTGGCGCAGTGCTTGAGAGTCCGCCTGCCGTTGCAGGAGACGCGGGTTCGTGCCCCGTTTCGGGAAGATCCCACATGCCGCGTAGCGGCTGGGCCCGTGAGCCATGGCCGCTGAGCCTGCGCGTCCGGAGCCTGTGCTCCGCAAATGGGAGAGGCCACAACAGTGAGAGGCCCGCATAACGCAAGGAAAAAAAAAAAAAAAAAAAAAAAAGAACCGCGCGTGGGCTTCCCTGGTGGTGCAGTAGTTGAGAATCTGCCTGCCAATGCAGGGGACACAGGTTTGAGCCCTGGTCTGGGAAGATCCCACATGCCGCGGAGCAACTAAGCCCGTGTGCCACAACTACTGAGCCTGCGCATCTGGAGCCTGTGCTCTGCAACAAGAGAGGCTGCAACAGTGAGAGGCCTGTGTACCGCGATGAAGAGTGGCCCCCGCTCGCTGCAACTTGAGAAAGCCCTCGCACAGAAACGAAGACCCAACACAGCCAAGAATAAATAAATAAATAAATTTGTTTTTAAAAAAAAAAAAAAACACGCTTAAAAATCTTATCTACTTGGGGCTTCCCCGGTGGCGCAGTGGTTGAGAGTCTGCCTGCTGATGCAGGGGACATGGGTTCATGCCCCAGTCCGGGAAGATTGTGTGTTCATGGGTACCAGAAAGAAATATCCAATTTCAAAACTATACTTGCTTGACCAGTTCCTTACTTCTAGAATGCATTTATTCCTTTGGATAAAGACTTCAGTTCTATTAAAATGCAAATGTTCCAGAATATAGTAAAAAAAAAAAAAAAAAAAAAAAAAAAAAAAAATCTTATCTACTTGATGTGTATTGAATCCTGCATCTTACAACTGCCTGAATACACAGTCTTTTCAACTGCACATGGAACATTTGACAAAATTGATCATACGTTGGGCCATTAAGCAAGTCCCTACAGATTTCAGAGGACTGAATATTTTGAGAGTATATTCTTTGACCAGAATAAAATTAAGCTATAAATCAACATAAAGATAACTAGACAATCCTCAAATGAAAATGGAAAAATATTTTGAACGAAATGATGAGGAAAGTATGACACAACAAATGTGTGGGTATAGCTAAATTTGTGATTAGAGGAATATTTATAGCTTTGAGTATATATTAATATACATTATTAATGTACAATACATTATAATACACATTAGAAAGGATACAAGGATAGAAATTATGTAAACTTCCATCTCTCGAAGGTAGGAAAAGAAAACCCAGCAAATTAAACCCAAAGGCAATAGAAAGAAGATAATAAAGATAAATAAATGAAATGAAAAACATTTATACAAAAGGTAAAAAGCTACAAAGCTAAATTTTAGTTCTTTGAAAAGACAATGCATAAACTCTTAGCAAGAGTGATCAATAAAGAGAATTTTTAAAAAACCAAATCATTCACAAGAAGAAAAACATACACCGTGGATACTGCAAACATTAAAAGGAAAATAAAACATTAAAATGGACACCTTGATGCTAATAAATTTGATATTTTAGATTAATTGGGCAAATTCCCACAAAAACACAACTAAGTTAAACTAAGTCAAGGAAAAATAGAAAATCTAAAGAGTTATATCTATTAAAATAGAATCTGTAATTGAAAAAGCTTCTTACAAAGACATCTTCAGGCCCAGATGGTTTTGCCATTGAATATTTCCCAGTGTTTAAGGAAGAAACAACACCAGTCTTTTACAGACTCTGCCAGAGAATGGTAAAGAGTAAATACTTCAGTACTTTTTTTCCCAAATTGACGAATGAAGATAGTGAAACCTTGAAGTCAATCATGAAAAGGATAAAGGAAAATTTCAGTTCAGGCTGTATCATAAGCTTAGATGTAAAAGCCTTAACCAAATTGTTAGTACATTGAATCTGTGCTAATGACAGATGAAAAAAAAAAAGACTTCATGATAAAGTTGGTTTTTAATCCATAAATGCAAAGTTGGTTTATGGAAAAAGTCAGTTTTTTTGAAAAAATCATTCAAAAATCAGTTGATGTAATTCACCACATTGAACTAATAAAGAAAAAAATATGGTCATCTCAATAAATACAAAAAAGGTTTTAGATAAATTTCAAAAACCACTCACTATTCAAAGAAAAAAAAAAAATCAGCCACAGAGTGGAAGAAGATATTTGCAGCTTGGATCTACAATATTTAAAAAGCACATACAAGTCAGTAAGAAAGAGATGGTCAACTCTGTGGAAAAATGAGCACATAATTTAAGCAAGCACCTCACAAGAGAGGATTTCCAAATGACCAATAAACATATGAAAAGGTGACCAACTTCACTAATCATCAGGGAAATGCAAATTGCAATCATAGTGAGGTATATACCCACTAGAATAGCTAAAATGAAAAACATCTTAACAAGGATATAAAGCAATTGGAACTTTCATACATTACTGGTAGGAGTTTGAGTTAACCTAACAGCTCTTGAAATTATTTGGCAGTACCTATCAAACCTGAACATAAGCATTTCTCATGACTTAGCAGTGCCACTCTAAGATATATACCCAACATATATACATAGATATCTGTGCCAAAAGACAAAAGAACATTTATATCAGCACTATTTGAAATATCCCCAAACTGAAAGAAACCTGAATGTCCATCAGCAGTAGAATGAATAGATTGTGGTATATTTGTATAATGGAATACAATATGGCAGTGAGATTAAACTGTTGGTACTCACAAACATAATGTTGAGTGAAAGAAGCCAGAAACAAGAATACATACTGTATTATTCAAAAATAAATAAAGTTCAAAAATAAATGAAACTTAACTCATGGAATGCATATTATATGTTACCATTAATATAATGTTCAAAAGCAGTTAAGACTAATTTATAGTGATAGAAATACAGATACTGGTTATTTGTGAAAAGTGAAATGCATAGTAGTTGGGAGGGTCTTGAGAGGGAGATAACTGCTGGTTATATTCTATTTCTTGATTTGGGTTCTGGTAAGAAGTGTGCATTCACTTTGTCTAAGTCTCTCAAGCTGTACACTTAACAATTTATATACTTTTTTATATATGTGTCATACTTCAATAAAACTTTTATTTAAAATATACAAGGAAATTACTTCGGACAGAAAATAACTAAAGACACCCTGCCACCCCCTCCTGCAGAAGAAAAAAAGAAAATAACTAAAAACATATATTGATTTTACAGTAAGAACTCAGAGTTCACTTTTTCTCAGTTGAGAACACTTTTTCTCAGTTGAGAATAGTAAAATTAATTTTTCCCTTAATTTCAAGAAATAACAATTTTTAGCATGTTTGCTTTAGATTAGTTGGTTTCAAATAAAACTATTTTGAAGTTTTTGTTTAATACCTTCAAGTATTTTATTTTTTTGCTTTCGCAAGTCTTACTATTAACATTCCCAGTGCCCTAGGGATAGCCATAACATTTAAATAAATAGGTTATACATGTGCATGTGTGTGTCATAGTAATAGGAAGAAGATTGGCTAAAGTTTATTTTGTTTTAATTATTGCAGCAAACATTATTTTATTTCTTTTAACAATTTATTAAGCACTTGCCATATACCAGATACTGTGCTTTGTATGTTCACCTGTAACTTAATTTTTACAATAACCCTCTGAGATAGAAAGGTGATATTCCTATTCCCAGCTATAATCTAGTTGCAAATATGAAATAACCTAATTCATATAGTGACAATATATGCCTCTGCCTTTAGCTATGACATCAATAGTCAGTTAAACTTCGCTTAAGTTTACATAAACACTGAAGCGTTCTTATGCTTCAGAAATTAGTGACAACTAATTCATTTTAAATCAACAGATTTTCAAATGGTACTTGGTGAATGTTTAACATACAAAGTCTATCCCCTTTCTCCTTTGCCACATCCCATCTTTACATGAAGAGTTTTTTTTTAACAGAAAGGGAAACAGTAATCTGTTGTCACTGCCTCCATTCTGCCCCATTATTTGGCAGGGGTCGGGAGGATTCCTAGTGGAAGAGGATTGAAACTAACAGCTCATATATTTATACTCTCAGCATTTATCATAATTCCCTTTCCTCCCAACTCTCATAACTATGATTGTAAAACTTGAGGAAAATAAAAAGTAGTTACTCTTAAAGAATTGGATAAACATATTTAACAATGTTAGAATGTATTTAGAAACAAAAATTATTTTCCATTTAGTATGATCCAGAGCTATCATCTCGACAGTTTGGGGTTGAATTATCCCGTTTGACCAGTGAAGACCGAACTGTTCCTTTGGTGGTGGAAAAACTCATAAACTACATTGAAATGCATGGATTATACACAGAAGGTATTTACCGAAAGTCTGGTTCAACTAATAAAATCAAGGAGCTTCGACAAGGTCTAGATACAGGTAAGATAGTGCCCTCTAAATCAAGACCAAATAATTTTATTTAAATAGTTCATCTTATGCTCTTAGTTTTCATTACATGTTGATCATTTTCTTGCAGCCAGAAGAGTGCAGTCTTTTCTGTGGTGCTTGTTTTATCATTTGTAGCTTTCAAAAGAGTCTGTTTTTATGTGGTCAATTCAGCAAACATACATTGCATATCATTTGTACAGGCATTATTAGGTACTTCAGACAGATCGCATTTAATCTTTTTTTTAACAGTCTGGTAAGATCATGTCTTTAATTTACAAAGAAGAAAATTTAGGTTCAGGGAAATTGAATAATGAGCTGTTGATGAGATGCAGGGCACTGTGCTGATGTTTTTGTATTAATTTTCACAACAGATCTTTGTACTAATCTTCCCAAACAGTGATTATTATCCCTGTTTACAGATGAAGAAACTGAGGCTTACAGAGGATCTTGCCCAAAGACTCACCACCAATAAGTGACAAAGCTGGCATTTAACCCATAATCTAAACTATTGCCTGTTAGTCTCTGTTATTCTGACTCCAAGTGGTGCTCTTTCTGATGCATATTCTTGCCTTCCTACATTGATGACATAGTTATTTAAATGGATAAGTAGTGAACTGAACATGTATCTGTGTAGAGCTCTAGCCTCAGTCCTGGAATGTATGCAGAAGTTTGACTTTGGCTTTATGTTCAACTTCTACTCTTCACCACTATTGGAAAGGAATAGATTTTTTATTTATTTATTTTTTTTGTCGCACTGCACGGCTTGTGGGATCTTAGTTCCCCGTCCAGGGATTGAGCCTGGGCCCTCGGCAGTGAAAGCACGGAGTTCTAACCACTGGACCACCAGGGAATTCCCAGGAATAGATCTTTTTGAATCACATATAGGTGCAAAGTTTGTCTCTGTGTCACCAAGAATCTACCCACAGGCATCATTCATCCTATATCATCCCAATGCTCTCATGTATAACCCTAGGGAGTTTATAAGTGAAGCAGAGTAAAGATTTTCTTCACATTTCCTAAGCTCAGTTATCACTGTCATTTCATCTCTGAGAATGACTTAAAATCAGTCTGACTTTTAGAAACTGTCCTTTGGGCCTTTGTTATGTTTGTCATCTGAAGCATCACTACTAGAAGTATCGTTCACAAACCAGTCCACAAGAGAAGTACAGAAATTAAGAAAAAGCATTTAGAAACATTTATAGCAATTTAACAGTGCCTTGACATGAAAACTTGTTATCTTTTATTTTACACATCTGTCAGTCCGCGACATTTGAAAAACAACCAACAAACAACAACTGTTCCTTTACCACAGTAGGAGCACTGTTCCAAAGCATGGAATTCAATTGTAGAAGATAGTCTGATTAAGAACATGAAGGCATTTTTCGGTCATGATAGTTTCTAAAGTGAATTATTTGACTCTCTGCATGTTTTGGCTTTCTTATCTAACTCTTGTCTCTGAATAGATGCTGAGAATGTAAACCTAGATGACTATAACATACACGTCATTGCAAGTGTATTCAAACAATGGCTTCGTGATTTGCCCAATCCACTCATGACCTTTGAACTCTATGAGGAATTTCTTCGAGCTATGGGTAAGCACAGGCTTCCTGGGTTCAGGGAAGGCCTGCACTTGGGAAAGGAATGCCATCTTCATATTAGATGATTTAGCCATCCTCTCAGTTGGTTTAGTTCATATAGATCCAAAAGTGATACAGTCAGTACAAAACTGCCAGTGAACTCTCACCTATTCAAATGTTAACTGTTTTAGAAACTCATTAAAAGGTCAGTGTCCTGAAAACTTTCTGAGCAGGTCACCTAGTTGCTTCTTACAAAGAGATTGAAAGACTCAGGTTATAAACAAATTTAAAAATTAAATAGGAGATTTATATTCATTTAAATTGTGAATCTAGGCAAGAACTCAGTGTAAAGTTGGCTATCTACTTTAAGCCATGCCTAACATGTTGGTTTAGTTTTTCAGTGCTACAGATGTGTAGGATATTGATTAAGGCCTACCTAGAAGTGTTTAGGCCCTGAGGCCTGACTCCTCAATTCCCATAAGACTGATTTATAACTTATATAACAATTGATTAATTTTAATGGGGAATTGGTTTGCCACAAAATGCCTGAAGAGCTAGGGCATCTCTTGCCCCTTGCTGTAATCAAGAATTACTGGGCTATAGATTAAAACTCATGAGACTGCTTAGAGAGTATAGAACTCAAGCAAAGGGAGATTAGTGGTAACTGAGTTGTTCTTCTGCTATACAGGTATAGCTAAAACCCCTAAAAATCAACCCTAGAGCCACCCTCCCTTGCTACCTAGTGTCTGTCCAGAAGGAATATGTAGTGTATAAGAGAGGATATTCATTCTTATTTGCTGCTCTTACTGCTTTCAGGCCTTCAGGAGAGGAAAGAGACAATCCGTGGTGTATACTCTGTGATTGACCAGCTCTCCCGAACTCATCTCAATACACTGGAACGCCTCATCTTTCATCTAGTCAGGTAACTTCAAGAAACAAAGGAACACTTAACAGTTTCTCTTGGATTCTTTTAAATAAATGAAGAGCTCCTTCGTATGAAAAACTGACAGATCTTTTTTTTTCATGTTGATAAAGTCAATGCCTCAAACAGGTGGTTATGATTCCTTGGAGCAGAAATCCTCAGCTGAGTTAGATTGCATGGCAGGTGCTTCTCTGCCCTATTTGAGCCATGTAACACCTCAGTCTCATGGTGGCACTGTGTAGCCTAGCCTGTTATCTAACTCCCGAGCTAGAAAGCCTGTGTGTCTGTTGACATAACCTAATTCATAGGAGGAGGGTTCAGACGGAGCTCAGGAATTGACTGACCAAAGACAATCCAGGGGTAGTCTCTCTTCTTTTGATTGTAAATATTAGCAATAGTTGGGAAGAAAGCCACCTTTTTCTTTGGATAAATATCTTATATGACTGTTTGAAAATGCCTTAAAGTGTCTACATTCTGTAGATATTTTCATCTAGTAACGGTGACCTGGGGCAGTGAGTCACAAATTTTTCCTTGATCAACTATCTGCTTGCCTGAATTGCTTCAAGGAACAGAGTAAAAGTACACTTTCCAGAGGCAAAGGAACAGCTTTGGGAAAAGTCTACAGTATCTTCCTTCAACTGATAGGAATATCTTTCCAGTACTATGCAGTTGATGTCATTGATCTTCTTTCTCTCATTTCTTCTGCCTACCTCCCTGCAATTTTCCTTTTTCATCCTAGTTTCACTTGTTTTTTTTGTTTCTTAGGATTGCTCTACAGGAAGACACTAATCGAATGTCTGCAAATGCTTTGGCCATTGTATTTGCACCCTGCATTCTCCGCTGCCCTGACACCATCGACCCACTACAAAGTGTGCAGGACATCAGTAAGACTACCACGTAAGGCCAGTCACCATCACCTCTGCAAGACCCCAGGGACTTCTGAGTCAGTGTAGTCACTTTATCCAGATATCAAACATAGTGAATGATTTCTTTTTCTTTTTTTTGACCATGCTGCGTGTCTTGCAGGGATCTTAGTTCCCCGACCAGGGATCGAACCCGGGCCCCCTGCAGTGGAAGTGCAGAGTCCTAACCACTGGACCACCAGGGAGTTCCCCTAGCAAATGACTTTTTTTTTTTAAGTTCATATGTTTTTAATAAGATTGCTAGGTGCCACTGGGCTTTTTTATGCTGAAGATGAAAAATTCCTTTAGGTTCTATTCAACTAAGCATCATTTGTTTTGAAGGGCCTTATTTTTTAAATTTGGCTTCTCTTTAGGAATGATTATAGTCTCCAAATGTATTTTAAAATACCATTTTACCAAATTACATATACTTTGTGTTTTCCTGTAATCTAGTCTAACTGTAGTCTTATGGCTCTGAATCCCTTTGGTCTTAATACTTCAGCATTCCTGTATTTCACCTTGCCCTTTTTTATGCACCTCTGATTTCCTTCTAGAGTGGTGATTCTTAACCTTTTCTGCAAAAGGAGCTTTCCCCAAAAAAGCCTAGTGTTTGTGTCCCATTCCCAGAGAGTGATTTAATTGGTCGGGGGTGTGGCCTAGGCATTGGGACTTATAACTGCTCCTCAGATGGATACTAAAGTTTAGCCAAAGTTGTGAACCACCATTATAAACCCTGTCTCTGAGCTTTTATCCTCCAACCATCTACCACACTTAGCTGAAAAATAGTCTGTGGGTGCTACAATTTATTTGATTGACTTCAGCACTTAACAGTTTTCTCTTTTCCTGTTTCAGCTGTGTGGAGCTGATTGTTGTGGAACAAATGAATAAATATAAGGCTCGTCTCAAAGACATCAGTAGCCTGGAATTTGCTGAGAATAAGGCAAAGACCAGGCTGTCACTGATTCGTAGATCAATGGTAAGATGCAGGACATGGAATCACAGGGGGAAATGGGAGCCTTCCTCAGATTTTAGGTACACATTATGATATGTAGAGAGAGATTATTCTCTGAAACTTTTTCACATGGAACAAGTGGAAAAAAAAAAAGTCACCTTATCTCAGGGTACTATGTATGTCTCATGTTTGTTCTTTGAGCTGTCTTTAGTTATATACACAGAATACAGTTAACTATGAAGAATTTTTAAAATCAAGTATTTGGGTAAAATGTTGGTGGTTTAATAATTTGCCCTGTTTTCTTTTCCTGTCCTTTCTATGAAAACGTAACCCACCCTAACTTTTGAGTCTGCTTTCTTCCACCGTCTGTTCCCAACCTCAACCATGTCACTTTTGGTGGTCCTGCCAATAGTTCTGGGATGTAGAGAACTTATTCACTTGCAAGAATGTGAGTCATAGGATATAGAACTCCACTATGAGTCTACTATTATCAAATAAAGATTTCTTTGAGGGCTTATTGCTAGGTTTTGAAAAAAGCCTTACAAAAATGATAATTTATTTCTTCCATTTGCCCATTTGTCTGTTTAATATCTTCCTTTGTAACTGGTGACCTATATATAAACAACTCCATTTCACACTGACCAATAATCAGTAGGGTCTAGATAACTGGAAACCTATTGTTGCATTAAAGTTTAATTATTGCCCATTTACTACCCTTCCCCTGAATTGTAAAACAAAACTGTATTAGTGAACACCCAGTCAGATCCCCAGTAAATCTCTGAAGAGAAGCAAGCTTCCCCATCATTGTGCCCATGTTTTTGCAGAGGCCCAGCAATACTTCCTCTATACTTGGTAGTTTATACTCAGATTAGCATTAAAGTAACTCCATTTCTTCCTTTACTGTTAAACTGCCTGGCACAGGACAAGTGCACAACAAATGTCTGTAGATTAAGTTAATGAAGGGTGTTCTCTAAAAACAAACATAAACACAGAATTTCTCCAGTCAGTAAAGGTATTAAATAAAGCTCATCACAGAACACGTTCTGAATATTTTCTCCAGGAAATGAAAACAGAAACCCCATTTAAAAGTGAAACCCTGGGCTTCCCTGGTGGTGCAGTGGTTGAGAGTCCGCCTGCCGATGCAGGGGACACGGGTTCGTGCCTCGGTCCGGGAAGATCCCACATGCCGCGGAGCGTGAGCCATGGCCGCTGAGCCTGTGTGTCTGGACCCTTTGCTCCGCAACGGGAGAGGCCACAACAGTGAGAGGCCCGCATACCCCACACACACACACAAAAAACCCTTCCCGTAGTATGAATTTTTATGAACTCAGTTCTGAGAGGCCCAAGTTAGCAGTGCCCATCCAGGGAAGACGGGAAGAGACCTTTTACTATAAGGCTACTTTTCAAAGCAGGTAGACAAGCTGTGCTTTTTTGCTGATGCTGCAGAAGACAGATATATTCATTCCATTGAAAGATGAAACCTCTTTAATGGGGCAATGACATGTACATTCTAACCTTCTGCTTTCCTTTTCATGTCCTTCCTAATCCAGAAACCTGTACTAATTGCAGTTAGATTTATGAGCATTACCCGCAATTCAGTCTCGGTATGTATTACTATTGCAATGTGTCACAGCCACTTTTTTTATTATTGTCTCTCATCCATCCAGGAGTTGTTCTGCTCTGTCTATCATCCATGCCTGTCCACCCTCCATGTGCAGCCCCAATTCAGGTCCCACTTCCTGATCAGCCTTCACTTGCTTTTCTCTTACTCTCTTTCTTTAGAACCTTTATTTTCTTTCCTCTGTGTCATGCAGTTGAACAATGTCCATTTATAATATACTGGTTTTTCCTCTTTGTCAAATAAGCCTCTTTGTGGATTTCTTCTTTGGTTGGATCATTGAAAGGTGAAATTGAAAGCACTGAGGTATCAAATAAATTTCTGCTCTGTGAGCTTTGTTCTCATCAGTCTCTTCCTTTATTACATAAAAACCTATTACTGTTTTTAGCATCCTCCATCATTAGAAATGCTTATTTGCCCATTCCTATCTGTGACTTTGATGGTGTCTTTCTAGACATAGAAGTATGACTGTTATCTACTCAGCATTTTTTAGACAGTGCTGCAAGTAGTAGTGAGAAAATTGATGGACTGGTTCTAGATTTAAATAATAATAGTATAATAGATCTCATACCAGGATTTCATACAAAAAAAAGAATGGAGAGATGGAACACCAATATATATGGAAACTAATTGCAAAGACTATCCATCTATGTGTAACCAGTTCATTAAGGATGTCAATTTGCTGGGATATAAATGTCAGTCAGTTTTGTTTTTTATCTAGTAACTGCCTTCCAACTCTACCATGTCAAAATCCCCTTTCCTACTGGATATCAACTACCTTAACAGCATCTTTTGACTATTCCATAATTTTTAAATGCTCTAGTCTTAGTCCGGTATTTAAGACTTAGTTCTCTTCATATTATATCTTCATATTATAACATCAGCCACAGGCTTGATCCAGTACTCATCACTTTCTTCCAGGATAGACTAGACCTTAATCTGGGGCTGAAAACTTTGGGGGTGAGTGAGTAGGTTCTTTTAGTCACACATTTCTGCCCTCCCTCTTTTTTCCCTTTTTTTTTTTTTAATTTCTAAATTCCAGAACATACCTGACTCCAAGAGTTGTTTTTTTGTTTTTGTTCTTTTAAATTTTTAATTTATTTATTTATATTTTGGCTGCATTGGGTCTTTGTTGCTGTGTGTGGGCTTTCTCTAGTTGTGGCGAGTGGGGACTACTCTTTGTTGTGGTGCGCAGGCTTCTCATTGTGGTGGCTTGTCTTTGTTGCAGAGTACGGACTCTAGGCACGCAGGCTTCATTCAGTAGTTGTGACACGTGGGCTCAGTAGTTGTGGCTCGCAGGCTCCAGAACACAGGCTTAGTAGTTGTGGTGCACAGGCTTAGTTGCTCCATGGCATGTGGGATCTTCCCGGACCAGGGCTCGAACCTGTGTCCCCTGCCTTGGCAGGCAGATTCTTAACCACTGCACCCCCAAGCAAGTCCCTGCCCGCCCTCTTCCTTGTGCTGTTTCTTCCTCTGGTGTTGAAACTGAGAGGAGTGATATAGGAAAGGCAGAATTGTACATGGTATGCCAGTATTGAGGTGATGATAGTCTTGGTTGTTCAGCACTACTATTCAAGCTCATTGTCAATAGGCTAAATGAAGATAAGTGGTATCTCCAATTGACCCTGCTGACAGTGAGCAGAAGGCTATAGGCATTGGCAGTCCCTTGCTTTGGTTACACCTTCTGGCTAAACCTGACGGATGGCATTCATACTGTGTGACTCTGATATGTATGTCTTTTTTTTGCCTCAAGACTTTACCCAATCAGATCTACCTCCCATGGCCAGTTCTAGGGCCTACAAGCACACTGGGGGAAAGGTTACATTTTTCATACCTCTTGGTTCCCAAGAACTCAAGGTGGGTAAGTCTTGCCTACCTCTCTATCTGACTCTTCCCACCACACTCTTT